GGGACAAGGACAGCAATCGGGACAAGGAAGGACTCGAATCGTGATAAGGACAGGAAGCTGAACAAGGACAGGAATCGGGATAAAGACTCAAATCGGGATAAGGACAAGGAACCAGGACAATGACTCGAATCGGGACAAGGACAGGAATCGGAACAAGGACAGGAATCTGGACAAGGACTCGAATCGGGATAAGGACAGGAAGCTGAACAAGGACATGAATCGGGATAAAGACTCAAATCGGGATAAGGACAAGGAACCAGGACAATGACTCGAATCGGGACAAGGACAGGAATCAGGGTTATTTTGAGTATTCCTTTATATTACTGAATTTGAATTGTGTGCATGCCTAATAAGGCTCCCTGTGGTTTTGAACTTTGTGAAATAATTTCCATCAAACCACACTTTAATGTGCATCAGTTTTATTCCATTCCAGTTTAACTGGGAGAGCGAAACTCTTTACTAATGAGGGGAAGGTAAGCCTTTATATCAATTACAAGCTTATCCGCGATTCTTGTTAATTAGGCACTTTGCATCGGTCACACATCTGCCATGGCTATCTTTAACCTTGCACTCACCAATGCACGAAATGCCAGAAACAAGGTTTCTCTTTCCGCGATTCTTGTCAATTAGGCACTTTGCATCGGTCACACATCTGCCATGGCTATCTTTAACCTTGCACTCACCAATGCACGAAATGCCAGAAGCAAGGTTTCTCTTGGCGAGAAYGCCTTCAATGTAATCCCTCGGGATAGCAAGGGAATTGGCTATCAGAACAGCAACAATGAGCAATACAATAAGCTGTTTCATTTTCTGTTGAACTACAAATAGATGTTATTAGATAGAGCAAAAAAATGTTAGTTTTAGTCAACTCTACAAATCATCTAAATTTAATTTGGAAAAATGATCAATGACGCGACCCGCGAAGACTCCAACTGTTCAAGAGAACTAGTCGATCATTGAAATGTTTGTTCATTGCTTTGCAAGTTTTTGTTTTTTATTAGAAATGTAAAAGAAAAAATCCGTCCAAAGAGAAAAGGAGTTCAGTTGCAAAGTTGGCCGGCGTAGGTAATAATAATATAACAGTAATAAAAACAATATAATAATGAAAATAAAGATCATTATTACTAACTTTATGTATTAGTTTATTCTTGCTTTCCTAAGGCCCAGGATTAGACTCGGCGAGTGTAGAAAAGATGTTAGAAAGCGCATTTTGTGAAAAACTACTACTTCTACTAGAGTGATTTTATTTAACCAGGTACTATTTAACTAAGAAAAATTGCTACCACTACCACTACAACCACTACCTACTAGAGTGCAAACAATATAACCATGAAACTTTAGTAATGCTAAATAGTACAATTTCATGCAAAGTCCATTGTTTTCTATTGTTTAATT